GCACACCCATTTCGGCACACCCCTCACACGTTTCGTGGCCCCACAGGGAGCTCCACCGAAGGCCCCAGTGCTGCCGTCCGCATGCGTCCCGCACACCAGGTGTGTGGCGTGCCGACATGGGCGTCGCGGCGCGCGGGCGCTGCCGTCGGGGTTCCCAGGGAAGCCCCCTGCAGAGGCGACGCTCAGAGTCACGAGTACCGAGAGTCACGCAGACCCAAACTGTTCACAGTCGTATACATACATTTACACTGGGCGTATCCATGCACGCATTCATGCGAATAGAATCAATCGCGCGCAGATTCATTCATAATCAGACTCGCTCGCGATCCGACTCGCACGCGCTCAAGCTTTCATAGTCGGACTTATCGTCTTCGCTCGTGTTGTGTACACTGCCACGCATGTCGGCACACCCCTCATACGGCTCGTGGCCCCATAGGGAGCGCCACCGAAGAAGATATTCACAATTGCGGTACTCTCAACTGCATATGGTTGGGTCCTTCGCCAGGCTAATTAATGTCTGCGCCAATCACACGCGGGAGGTAGGGAAGCTAAACCCCCAACAGGGGGTACGATCGAAGACGAATAGGGCGGGCACCGAGGATTCGGGCAATACGTGTTGCATGGAATGCGAGCACGTAAGAGCGAACAGTCTTAGCTTTATCCGTATTGCTGTTGTTGCTGAGTTCTCACATATCAAAAAGAACTAACTGCTTTTGCTCCCATATCCTGTAACCATGGGAGTCCCCAACCATCCTGTGGTGTTGGGTCCTCGTTTTGAAGAGACAGCGCCCCGCGTCCTCACACCTCCTCCTCTTCCTCCTCCTCCTCCTCCTCCTCCTCCTCCTCCTCCCTCCTCCCTCCTCCTCCTCCTCCTCCTCCTCCTCCCTCCTCCCTCCTCCCTCCTCCCTCCTCACCTCCCTCCTCCCTCCTATCCTCCCTCCTCCCTCCTCCCTCCCTCCTCCTTCTCCCCCTTCTCCTCCCCCTCCCTCCCCCTCCTCCCCCTCCTCCCCTCCTCCCCCTCCTCCCCCTCCTCCTCCTCCCTGCGTTTCACCGACCTCGTACAGCGCTTCGTGGCCCCATAGGGAGCCCCACCAAATGTCCCAGTGCTGCCGTCCGCATGCGTCCCGCACACCCAGTACAGCGTTTCGTGGCCCCCTCCTCCCTCCTCCTTGCGCTTCGCCCACCCAATACAGCGCTTCCTGGCCCCATAGGGAGCCCCACCAAAGGTCACAGTGCTGCCGTCCGCATGCGTCCCGCACACCCAACACCGCGCTTCGTGGCCCCATCGGGGGGCCCACCGACGGCCCCAGTGGGACCCTCCGCATGCGTCCCGAAAACCAAATTTGCGATTTCACCCACCCAGTAAAGCGCTTCGTGGCCCCATAGGAAGCTTCCGAAGCCCCCAGAAGGCCCCAGCGGCAGGGTCCGCATGCGTCCCCGCGCCCATTTCGGCATACCCCTCTCGAGGACCGTGGCCCCATAGAGAGCCCCACCGAAGGCCCCAGCGGCAGGGTCCGCATGCGTCCCCGCGCCCATTTCGGCACCCCTCACGAGGATCGTTGTTTCATAGGGAGCTCCACCGAAGGCCCCAGCGGCAGGGTCCGCACGCGTCCCCCCCAGTTCGGCACACCCCTCACGAGGAATGGGGCCCCGTAAGGAGCTCCACCGAAGGCCCCCTTCGGCAGGGTCCGCATGCGCCCCCCCGCCCATTTCGGCATACCCCTCACGAGGACCGTCGCCTCATAGGGAGCTCCACCGAAGGCCCCAGCGGCAGGGTCCGCATGCGTCCCCGCGCCCATTTCGGCACACCCCTCACGAGGATCGTCGCCTCATAGGGAGCTCCACCGAAGGCCCCAGCGACAGGGTCCGCATGCGTCCCCCCGCCTATTCCAGCACACCCCGCACGAGGATCGTCGCCTCATAGGGAGCTCAACCGAAGGACCCAGCGGCAGGGTCCGCATGCGTCCCCCCGCCCATTTCGGCACACCCCTCACGAGGACCGTGGCCCCATGGGGAGCTCCACCGACGGCCCCAGCGGCAGGGTCAGCATGCGTCCCCGCGCCCATTTCGGCACACCCCTCACGAGGATCGTCGCCTCATAGGGAGCTCCACCGAAGGACCCAGCGGCAGGGTCCGCATGCGTCCACCCGCCCTTTTCGGCACACCCCTCACAAGGATCGTGGCCTCATAGGGAGCTCAACCGCAGGACCCAGCGGCAGGGTCCGCATGCGTCCCCCCGCCCATTTCGGCACACCCCTCACGAGGACCGTGGCCCCATAGGGAGCTCCACCGAAGGCCCCAGCGGCAGGGTCCGCATGCGTCCCCGCGCCCATTTCGGCACATCCCTCACGAGGATCGTCGCCCTCATAGGGAGCTCCACCGAAGGCCCCAGCGGCAGGGTCCGCATGCGTCCACCCGCCCTTTTGGCACACCCCTCACGAGGATCGTCGCCTCATAGGGAGCTCAACCGAAGGACCCAGCGGCAGGGTCCGCATGCGTCCCCGCGCCCATTTCGGCACACCGCTCACGAGGATCGTCGCCTCATAGGGAGCTCCACCGAAGGCCCCAGCGGCAGGGTCCGCATGCGTCCACCCGCCCTTTTCGGCACACCCCTCACGAGGATCGTCGCCTCATAGGGAGCTCAACCGAAGGACCCAGCGGCAGCCGCCCATTTCGGCACACCCCTCACGAGGATCGTCGCCTCATAGGGAGCTCAACCGAAGGACCCAGCGGCAGGGTCCACATGCGTCCACCCGCCCATTTCGGCACACCCCTCACGAGGATCGTGGCCTCATAGGGAGCTCCACCGAAGGCCCCAGCGGCAGGGTCCGCATGCGTCCACCCGCCCATTTCGGCACTCCCCTCACGAGGATCGTGGCCCCATGGGGAGCTCCACCGAAGGCCCCAGCGGCAGGGTCCGCATGCGTCCACGCACCCATTTCGGCACACCCCTCACGAGGATCGTCGCCTCATAGGGAGCTCCACCGAAGACCCCAGCGGCAGGGTCCGCATGCGTCCACCCGCCTTTTTCGGCACACCCCTCACGAGGACCGTGGCCCCATAGGGAGCTCCACCGAAGGCCCCAGCGGCAGGGTCCGCATGCGTCCCCCCGCCCATTTCGGCACACCCCTCACGAGGACCGTGGCCCCATAGGGAGCTCCACCGAAGGCCCCAGCGGCAGGGTCCGCCTGCGTCCCCGCGCCCATTTCGGCACCCCTCACGAGGATCGTTGTTTCATAGGGAGCTCCACCGAAGGCCCTAGCGGCAGGGTCCGCATGCGTCCCCGCGCCCATTTCGGCACACCCCTCTCAAGCATCGTGGCTCCATAGGGAGCTCCACCGAAGGCCCCAGCATCAGCATGCGTCCCCCCGCCTATTTCGGCGCACCCCTCACGAGGATCGTTGCCTCATAGGGAGCTCCACCAAAGGTCCCAGCGGCAGGGTCCGCATGCGTCCCCGCGCCCATTTCGGCACACCCCTCTCGAGCATCGTGGCTCCATAGGGAGCTCCACCGAAGGCCCCCGCGGCAAGGGCCCGCGTGCGCCCCCCCGCCCATTTCGGCACACCCCTCACGGGGGTCCTGCCTCCGTAGGGAGCTCCACCGAGAGCGGTACCCACAACGCGGCACTCACAAGTGCATGTGGTTGGGTACCTCGCCAGGATCATTTTCAGTTGAAGTGCCCCCCTCGGGGCTCGCACCCTTTTTTATCAGGGTGGTTGGTGTCACCAAACTGCGCAGTTGGGCCCCGAACAACAACAACGGCTCCCGCCTGATATTTCCTCACAGTTGATTCCAACATCGCGCTCTCACGCAGGACTTGAGGTATGCAGGAATCGCGCTCTCGCGTGGGAGTTTTCCCGAAATTACTCGGACGCCGCGCCCTCGACATTCAGGAGTCCCGCTCTCGCTGTGGCCTTTCTCCCGATTTCTTAGGGAATCGCGATGTCGCTCGAGTTCTCCTCGCGATTCATGCAGTACCCACGCTTCAGCAACACGCCTTCTCGACCTGGCCGCTTGGGCCTGCCTTCCCGACCCGCCCGTTGGGATCTACCCGCCCGGTGGGCCGGTCTTGTTGTGCCACGTGTTTCCTGCTCCGAACTTCTCCCGATTCTCCCGTGATCCAACCTGATTTCCCTCCCCCTTCCATCCGTCTTCGCTTCACTGTTTCAGGGGCTGCAACAATTACACGCGGCAGGTAAGGAAGATATACCCACAGTGGGATGCGATCGAAGACGGAACGGGCGGGCACCGAGAGTTTGGGATGTACGTGTTGAATGACGCGGGCAGGTTGAACGAATACTCTTTAAGATGGCTGTAGTTGTTGTTGGTGTGCTGTTGTTGTTGTTGTTGTTGTTGTGGTTGTGGTTGTGGTTGTGGTTGTGGTTGTGGTTGTTGTTGTTGCTGTCGTTACTGTTGCTGCTGCTGCGGCTGCTGTTGTTGTTGTTGTTGTTGTTGTTGTTGTTGTTGTTGTTGTTGTTGGTGTTGTTGGTGTTGTTGATGCTGTCGTGATTGTTGTTGTTGTTGGAATTGTTGTTGTCTTTGCCGTTTCCGTTGTTGTTGGTGGTGCTGGTGATGTTGTGTTGTTGCTGCTGTTGTTGGTGGTGGTGTTGTTGTTGTTGCTGTTGTGGTGTTGTTGGTGGTGGTGGCGATGGTGGTCTTGTTGCTGGCGAGCGAACGCCGTGTTGTTGTTGGCGAGCTCTTCCACGTCGTGTTGGGGTGTCTTTCGTTGTTTCCGTCATCGTCATCCACCTCCCCTCCCCTTTGTTCCTCTCCCCCCTCTTTCAACCTCCCTTCTCCTTGTCCTGCCCTTCTTGGGGTTTTCCTGTAGCTCTCTTGAGCCATACTGGGCTTGTCTCGGGGTCTTGTTGGGTTGTCTTGGTCGGGTGCCCCATCAGGGCACTTTTTGGTCGTCTCCGGGCCATTTGGGAACCTGTGGGGCCACCTGCTCCTCCGTCGCTGACCCTCCTCGGCCCCGCCTAGCGAGCGCCGCACTGCCGGAGGCTCTGCTGATGTTCAGCCTCTACGTTGCATACTGCGCCTTCATGTCGCAGTCGGAGAAGATCGAGGGCAGGACATTCGAGCCCCGAGCTATCAGGGCGGGGCTTGGTCAGGGATAGCTCCTGGTTCGGGCCTCCCGCGTTCCGCTTTCTCGCCGCATTTGTGTTGGCTTGTGTTGAGCTCCAGTTTTCTGGCACAACCTCACAGGCAGGCGGGGGTCAGAGAGCTAGAGGAGGAATGAGGAGGAAGAGGAATAGGAGGAGAAGGAGGAGGAGGCGGAGGTGGAGGAACGGAATGAGGGGGAGGATGAGGTGGAGTAGGGAGAGGCGTAATAATGCTGGCCTGCATGTCTGGGACGGGTACAACATGGCAGTGGAAGCAGAAGTTATGCAGCCAGTTGATGTTAGGATTCTTGGGAACTCGGCGTTGCTCCCGTCGACGGCGTTTGGCTCAAGTATCGCGTCTTCCAGGGAATGCTCTTATCACATGTTCATGGCAGTGGAGCCCGTGCTTCGCCCCACGCGTGACAGTGCGCGCGTGTATCCCCGTGAGCCACTCGCTTCCCTGCGATGGCCGCGGCGGCAGCCGCGACGGTTCCGCCGAATCCTGGCGCAGCTGACCCTGCTTTCGACGTGACGTCATTCGATGTCCGAGGGGCGTGGCGCAAGTGGAGCACGAGCCGATTCTTAGAACCGTGTCATGTTGTTTGCGGGAACGAAGACTTCAGGCATGTCAGTACGGCTTTCAAGGCCAATCATGAAGGGATGATTTTTTGACACAGCGCTACGCCAGGCACCAGGACAATGGACAATGACAACGCGTGCGCGACGCTTTATATGAATTACACCATGAACGTCTTGTTGATGCCGGTCATCACCCGCAACCTCTACGGCGAGGAACAGTTCAACAACCTGCAGGAACACATGTGGACGGAACTGCAACGTCAACCGAACGCGTCAGAACATGTCACCACAACCGCGGAGGCCATCCACTCTGGCGGAAACGCCAGGGCCACAGGAGGCGGGAGCAAACCCCTGAGCGAACACAGGGCGCTTCAGCATGCTTTTTCGGCCGACTGTGCCACACGCAGGGAATTGAGCGAATTGTTGTTGAATGCGCTTGCCCAAGTGAAACACGTTTCCCGGAACGCCGTGAAGAAATTGAGCAACCTCGGGACCTTGGATTGGCCATGTCCAGATGACGAAGAGGACGATATGATACAATCGTGGTTTGGATGCTAACGGCTAGCACTCAACGACTATACCAAGGCGTCACAGACCAAGAGAAAAAGGGGAATATGATGTATACGAGGACGGCTACGCTCAGCTCAGTTGGGCGACGACGTCTGGTATCATTTGAACGATAATCTGGAGGGGACGGAGCCCTTCTGAAAGCTCAAACGTCTGCACCCAGGTGACGGTTCAATACTTTCCCAGAAGATATACACATGGCATTCTGCCGCTAGTTGAATCGCGCTCTCCCGTTAGATGAGGTTCGAGGACTGGCAACAGGATTGCTTCAAGGCACCAGAGTTGTGAAATGTCGGCACTAGACACATTCCTTCTTCGACTGCGAAGTTTGGGTAATTGAGGAAACACATTGGATGTAAATGCGACCGCACGACGACTTCATGGAGAGCGGCCAAGTTGAATCTCAAGTGACTGCGGCGCAGGCGCGAACGATTCTGCTTACTGCGGCGACAGGAGCAGCTGGCAGAGTTGGACCGTGGAAAACACGCACGGAAACGGTGACGCCAATGAGCATGGCACAGGAAACGGCAGAGGCACAGGGCCCATGTTTTACAAGTGCGGAGGATATGGGCCCATCGCCAAAGACGGGGCCACTGCAGGGGCCACGAAAGGACAAGGACGCGGAAAAAGGGGGATGAAAAAGGTGTCGCGGGCCACCAATGGGCGCTTGCAGGGGGCCTAGTGGAATGTCAAGGTGCGCAGGGTTGCCCGGGGGCTTGCGTCAACTGGGGCCACAGAGGAGATTCCCTGGGAGGTTGCCGAGGGGCCGAGCCCGAGGCTGGACTGGTGAAGGCAAAGGAGGATTTGCGCCGATCAGCGAGAGGGAGCGTTGCAGATGCGGCGAGAAAGGGCCGCGTTGCAGCCCGTTGACTCGCGGGCGCCGCCGCGGTCAATCAGGGCCGCCGGGGGGCAGGGGCGCGGGGGGGCCCGCGCAGCTGTCAGGGCGGCCCCCACCTGGGTCTGGATGTTGCGGCGTCGAACTGGGCGAGGCAACTGGCGCAGATGGAGCCGCCAGCAATGTCGCTGTCGCGGCGCCAATTAAAGTCGCGCGGGGCGGCGGGCGCAGTGCCGGGAAACGGGGGGGGGGGGGCAGACGAGGTTATGGGTCAAGAAGGGGCGGCTGGCACAATGGCGCAGCGTTAGCTGCGACCGCGGCGCCAACTGGGGCATCTGAATCACGGGGCGCATCAATGGAGCAGCCAACCGGGGCAACCGAAGCTGAAAAGTCGGACGCGATAGGGCGCCGAAGTGCAAGCGGCGCATATGGCTGGGGCCCGACAGGGGAGTTCACGAGGCGCGGCGCGACGAGCCCCCCCGAGCGCGGGGGGCCATTTCTTCGCTGAACCTGCGAAGGTTTCCAGAGCCAGTTAGCGGGTCAGTCTTTGGGGGCCGTGGGCAACGAGCCAATGTGGGTGAAGAAGAAAAAAAAAAAAAAAAAGCCCACGGTGAGCACGCCCAGCACAGTGGCCGGCGTTAAAGACAGATTCGCGTCAGCGCGTGAAATGGCAAAAGCAGGGGATCGCATAGCGGTGGATCAAGACAGCGATTGGCGATCTCGCAGTTACTGCCAGCGCGAGAAGTGGGGCAGAGGACGACGATCCACGAGAGAAGCGGCGATTTCCAGTTCGCCGCGCGAGTCTGGAAGGCGATGCGGGCCAGGGGGCGGCGAGGGAAATCGAAGAAGTCAGTGGTGATAGATGCGAAGGTGTCTAAGGCGGGGAACTCCCAGTGTGGGCTCGCGCCGTTGAGTCTCAGCGAGCCCGCGAGCCCTGGTCGGCACCGAAGAGGAAGAAGAAGAAGGAAGAAGAGGGCGAGGATGGGGTCGCTGAGTTAAGCGACGTGGAGGACGTCCGCCAGCTAGGAGGCCGAGGCGTTTGCAAGGATCGCGCGCGAGCTCGGCCCAATCGCGCCTTGAGTTACAAACTCACGCCCACTTGCCCCGCCGAAGCTAGGGCCCCCATCGCGTCGGAGGACAGGCCGCGAGGGGGCCCCCGATGAGGATGTTAAGGGTGCCGGGCCGAGGTGCCCCAGCGACCCCAGTCGACTACGCGCGGCAACGCGGGGGGGGGGGGGGATGGCGCGGGCGAAGGCAGAGGGGCCCAGTCATCGCCGTGCGCTGCCGGGACACAAAGTTAACCTGGGGCCAATTGTAGAGGCCTCCGGCCGGCGCCACCGATCCGGGGCGATCCCGCTGTCAAGAGGGCGATTGTGCCCCGGCGCGTGGTGATATTTTCCCTTCTCCGCGCTGCGCTTCAGTTTTTTAGGCAGCGGGGAGAATTGGGTCCGTGCCTTTCCGCATCCCCATTTTTCCCACCTTGCCTTTCTTCCTTCCCCCGTGGCCCTCGTGCATCATCGAGGCCTCCTGGGGGGCGTCTTGGAGGTGGTGGTTGCGTCTCTCAGAGGCCTTTGGGGCTGGGGGCGCCCTGGGGGGGCCTCTTGGGGGTGCGTGGGAGGTGATAGTAAAGCCTTCGGGGGCGCTTTTGGGCGCCTTTTGCGGGTCTCTTGAGGGCCGCTTGGGGCCTCTCGGGGTTTCTTGGGGACTCCTAGCGCAATTTTGGTGCCTCCTGGGCGCCCCTTGGGCCGTCTTGGGCCCTTTGGGGCCGTCATGGGGCCCGCTTCTGCGCTTCTTGGGCCCGTCCTGGGGCCCGCTCGGGCTGTCTTGGGGGCCTCCCGGGCCGTCTTGGGCACGTTGCGTTGCCGGGGCGCAGAGTTGCCGCGGGGCCGAGTGCTATTTTTTCGAGAGCATGGATGCGCACTATGGCAAGGTATCGGGTGGTATGATTTTTGATGATTGACCGAACGCATGTTTTTCGATGGCGATGGGGGGGCGCTCGCTGCGGCGCCCGGGCCAGCTCTTCGCGGCCCCCGCGACCTCCTCGTAGGAGTAGAAATAAGTCTTGCCGGAGACTCCAGGGTCATTGGCGAGGGCGAAAGTGCAATCAGAGCAGTCGAAGTCACGTCAGGACATTGTAGAGCAAACGGCCCACTTCGGTGGGGAGCGTGCTTCGGAATTAAATTTGGCGGCGCGTGCATCTTCTCTCCTCAAGCAGATCGCGCTAGGTGCCGACGCCAGAGCGCCCGTGGACGGCGCCGGGGACAAATCGTACAAACCGTTGTCCGGCTGGAGAATCTGCCACGCAACGGAAGACTCTGCTTGCAAATGGAGGCAACGACCACGAAGTGAGGTAGGGGGGGTGGCTGGGGACGCATGAGACTAGCCAAGAGACACCCCAGAGGGCGCCTTCGGGTCTCGCAAGTTCAGGCATGAACGGAGCGAGAAGAATTGAATATTTGATGGGGTCTAGCAAAGTAGAAGGGTTGCCCGTTGCAACCAGACCAATTCACGCCCGGAATGAAGGTCAGTCCAGGAATGATATTGCACATGGCGGTGCCGAGACAAGGTCTAGTTGCAGAGGCTCAGCCGCTTGTGGTTAGTGGAATCGCGGGCAAGAGGCTGGGGCGCATGCCCGCGGGCCATGCGCCGCGCGGCGTCGGGCCTGAAGTTGCTGCCAGAGGAGGCACAAACCACGAGCCTCAGAGCGCAGGATGTCGATAACTGGTTATCGAAAGGCGTGAAATTAAAGACGGCGCGAACATCCGCGAGAGATCATCAGCGGCTCAGATGGGGCAGGGGCCCTTCAGCCACCTGCAAGAAAAAGGGCAGGAAGGATTCCTTCGTGGACCAATGGGTTGTTTAAAACGAGTTAGCCATGCGGCCGCGTCGCGAACCCATGGCCCAATTACACGCGCCTAGAGACATGAGGGGCGGGACCCCCATGGCGACTGAGCAACGAGAGGGCGGGGGCATCTGGTCTTTCGCGGC